AGACCCCACAGAGCCCTGGTTAAACCCGTGCGCATGCGAGGGTGCTACCTCATCTGGGCCCAGCTAACCAAGCAGCCGACTTTAAACCCAGAAGAAGTTGGAAGTGCCGGCGAGGGGGGAGAGTGCTGGCACTGTGGCGATGGGGGGGGGCTTTGGCAGGTCTGTCATAGGGTGCTGATATGCTCTGCATACGATCACATTATAGCTAGAAGCTCCTGGGGGCTTTTTATTGTTGACACTTTACTTCCCTTCCAACTTCCTCCGTGCAGAGCGGGGGAAGCCCCACTACAAGGGGAGTTTTGTTTTCTTCCCCAGAGACAGGCTTTGAAGAAGAACTCTGGGTATCATTTTTATTAACCCTTGTAGTGGGCCTAGCCCAGCACTGCAAGGGTTAAGTGCTCAATTTTGTATAAAAAAAAGTTATACTCACCTGATGCTCGGAGGGGGCTTGCTCTTAGACCGGGCCCTGGAGCCTCCCATCCCCTCCGCTGCAGCGGTCTAAGGTCCCTGAGTCATCATGTTCTATATACAGTGCATAGGACGCCAAGGGACATACCATTTCTGCAGCGGAGGGGGAGACAGTCAGCCGGCTCCGTGGTTTAGGTGAGTATAACTTTTTTTATTTTAGTCCTTAGATGAAAACGAGCAGATAACTGGGTTGAGAGACATTTCCCCCCCAAGTTCTGCTTTAACCCTTTTGCTGCCATCACAGAGTGAGAGCAATATTTTTATGGCCAATATTCATGGATATCTCATGCTTTTAAAAGGTCGCCTATGGACAATTTAGGGTACCATATTTGGTCGCCGTTTCACGGACGCACGCAATTTTTTACCTGGACATGTTGAGTTTCTATTTATTTGTTGTAACCTCATCTTTTATATTTTACAAAACAAATGGGTATTTTATTGTGTTATTGGGCACTAAAATTAACTTAAATGCATGTTTCTCAAAATGTGGTGGTTTGGTAAAGAGTTGCGCTAATATCGTGCAACGTAAAAATTTGCAACTGCCGCCATTTTATTCTACAGGGTCCTTGCTTTCAGAACATATAAAATGTTTTGGGGGTTTTAGGTAATTTTCAGGCCTAAAATGTGGATTATAACGTGTGCAATAAACAACAAAAAAGGCCTTGGCAGCAAAAGGGTTAACAAGCATTTAACCCCTTGCAGTGCAGGGGCAGCCTCATAACAAGGTGGTGGTGGTGGGGTCCCCGGAGATGGACTTTAATGAGCATTTAACTCCTTGCAGTGCTGGTGGTGGGGTCCCCGGAGATGGACTGTAATGAGCATTTAACTCCTTGCAGTGCTGGTGTCCCCGGAGATGGACTTTAATGAGCATTTAACCCCTTGCAGTGCTGGTGGTGGGGTCCCCGGAGATGGACTTTAATGAGCATTTAACCCCTTGCAGTGTTGGTGGTGGGGTCCCCAGAGATGGACTTTAATGAGTATTTAACCCCTTGCAGTGCTGGTGGTGGGGTCCCCGGAGATGGACTTTAATGAGCATTTAACCCCTTGCAGTGCTGGGGTAGATCTATAACAAGGTGAGGTAAGCAGTGCAGGAGTAGCCCCATAACAAGGTGGGGGGGTCCCCAGAGATTGGCTTTAATGAGCATTTAACCCCTTGCAGTGCAGCCTCATAACAAGGTGGGGGGGTCCCCGTAGATTGGCTTTAATTAGCATTTAACCCCTTGCAGTGCAGGGGCAGCCCCATAACAAGGTGGAGGGTCCCCGGAGATTTCGCTTTAATGAGTATTTAACCCCTTGCAGTGCAGGGGCCAGCCCCATAACAAGGTGGCAGGGTCCCCAGAGATTGGCTTTAATGAGAATTTTACCCCTTGCAGTGCAGGGGCAGCTCCAACAAGGAGTGGGGGTTGCAGAGAAATAGGTTTCAATTAGCATTTAACCCCTTGCAGCGCAGGGGCAGCCCCATAGCAAGGTGGGGGGTCCCCAGAGACTGGCTTTAATGAGTATTTAACCCCTTGCAATGCAAGGAGGACCCACTTCAAGGGAGTGTTTTTGTGTAATTCCCAAAATCTCTGAACAGTACATGAGATACTTTAATAATTGTTACTCAAGCAACAAATGCCTCTTAAAGTGTACACACACACTCTCATTGTGTCATTGCTGAAGCAATTAAGTGTAATTATCACATTTGTACATTGCTCAGCAGGTGTGACCCGCCCTGTCAGAGTGCAGGAAGAAGGAGCCCAGCCACTGCCGGCCATTACAGCTCCTGATAGCCAGCACTGTCCATAGACAGAACAAGCCCCTTCACTCTCCCCCCTTAACAGTTGGATGTGGGAGCCGGAAGCGGAAGTGCGGGAGTATCCCTAGTATCGGAGGAGCGGAAGTAAGTGCGGGGTTACGGGCTGTACCATGCAGGGTTAATGGGGGGTAGCTGATGGGTTGATGGTTCTACATGCTAAGCTGTTACGTCTCTTCATGGTGTGACATAGACTCGCAGTTGTAATGTATACGGTGTTGTCTCTAGCACTGCTAAGCAAAGCTTCAGCTATATCGAGATATATATGTGGTAAATAAGGGTCGTTACGGGAAATACCGTGCGGTATGACTTAACGAACCTTGTTAAAAATGTTGGTGTCTGCTGGTCTGGGTCATCTCTTACCAAGTGGTGCTGAAAACAAACAAGAAAAAAAGAAACAATTGTGCAATGCAACAAATGTAATTGGACTTTTCCGCTGTGATTGAAATGGCAATGACAGAGGACTGGTCAGATGGCACAGTCAATGCAGACATCTTACAATTGTGACATCGATCGTTAGTTGTACGATCGGTTCTCTTCTCATCACCCTGGCTGGTAGTATTGAGACTTGTTCCCAGTGCTATATGACAAGAGATGGAGATGGCTCAATCAGATTGTACGTGTGTTGCTAACCTTAGGAGCCATTGGCAATCAATATGCATGATCGGTTGATTATCGCTTTGTGTGTATAGCAGGCTTTTGATTTTATGAATGAGGATTGAATAGTAGGACCGGCCAATCGGCTCCATTCACTGATTTGGGTTTTTTCAGACAACCGGCTGTCAGAATACAATACCCGGGCCGGGGAGATTTCACCATCTACATTGATATCTCCATAACATCTGCCCCTGCACTGCAAGGGTTAACTCCTCGATTTTTGTCTCCGTTCAAAAACAAAGTTGTACCCACCCAATCCTTGGAGCCAGACAGCTCTTAGACTGGTCCCTGGAGTCTCTTTAACCCCCTCCTCAGCAGCAATGGTATGTCCCTCGGCGTCCTCCACATCCAATACACTGTATAGAATGTGATAAATCCGGGACTGTAGACTGCTGCAGCGGAGGGGGAGCGGTCTAAGAGCAAGCCGGTGTTCTATCGAACGCTCCAACTCATCGAGATCTCCAACTACCTCACTTCCGGTGCGCAGAAAGAGTGGAGCTCTGCACAGTTGCGGCGCGCCTAGCGTTTTCAGAATACTCGTTGAGTTTGCCACCTGCTGAATATTGTTAAAATACAGCTGTACAGAGCTCCAGCTTTCGATGGAACACCGGCTCCGATGAACGGGTGAGTATAACCTTTTTTTTTATTTTAGCACCTAGACAAAAACGAGCACTTAACCCTTGTATTGTGACGGTAGCCCCACTGCAAGGGTTAATGTTTTTTTTTCTCCAGAGTTCTTATTTTTAAAAGAAGTTGGGCAATCGGATTGTAAGGTGTGTGGTCAGCTGTACCGTGCAGAAATGGCATCCAAACCATCCGCTATTCTATCTTGTTGCTAAACCTCAGTACATGTGCGGTATGCTGGGAATTTACTGTGACAGGCAGAAGTCTTCTTCCCCCCCCGGGGTGACAATGTGTGATTTTGTAATGCAGCGAGCGGCTCGGTTAGGATGTTCAGAAGTCGGTGTGTGTTTGGTGCTCTGGGCCAGTATATGAGGAGCTGTTATGCCACACAGTGGTACTCGGGGTGACGGAGTTCTGGTGTCACTGTCAGCTGTCCACACTAAGCTGTAACACTTTTGGAGATTTAAACGTCATAGAATCCCATCACAGTCCTGACCGGATACAACCCAAAACATCAGGTGGGTGCTGTAATGACTGCCGGTGTTCTAGCAAAGTTTGTGACTGCATTAGAATGTGGGACCGGTGACGTGGTCACACATTTTAACGCGATCCCGCCCAGTTTTTCTGTGTTGGAATATGTGACCGGCAAAAAGTGAAGAATTCCAACGCTTTCTTAGCTGTTTCAGGGCAGATCGGCATTGCAGATGGTATGTGCAGGAGACCCGATCTGCCCTGAAACAGCTGATCGGTCCTGAAATGTCACTTCTATCCGACTTTGTGGGATGTGAGATCGCACTTCCACATTCAGATAGAAGTGACATTTCAGGACCGATCAGCTGTTCAAGGACAGATGGGCTCTCCTCCACATGTGATCTGCAATGCCGATCTACCCAGGAACAGCTAAGAAAGCGTTGGAATTCTTCACTTTTTCCTGGTCACAAACTGGCCGGGATCACGTTAACATGTGTGACCATGTGACCGGTCACACCTTCCACTGCTGAAAAACTGGGCGGGATTAGGTTAAAATGTGTGACCACATCACTTGTCACACATCATAACGCAGTCACAAACTTTGACATAACACCGGTGCCGCCGCAAATCAAGTACAAATCCAAAAATAGTCACCATCACACCAAAAAATGTTCTGTCCATGCTTCTTTATTGACAAAGGAAAGGGATGTCACAATGTGTCACCACGTTTCAGAACCATTTCGGTCCCTTCAGGCAAATGAAGAAGGTTCCGAAACGTGGCGACACATTGTGACATCCCTTTTCTTTGTCAATAAAGAAGCATGGACAGAACATGCTTTGGTGTGCTGGTGACTACTTTTGGATTTGTTCAGTGGTTTGTCGGTAGTCGAGAATGTTCTTCAATTTGACGAACGCTGCATTGTTTGTATAATCTATAAAAATAAAAAATCAGATTTTATAAACCTGAAAACTCCTAAGGGGATACATTGAGGAGAATTTACTAACATTGGAGCAGTTGCCCATAGCAACCAATCAGCTTCTCTCTTCAGTTTGTTCAGTTAAGCTTTGAAAATGAAAGTGAGAAGCTGATTGGTTGCCATGGGCAACTGCTCCCGTTTAAAGCTGGCCATACATTGTTGTATTTTTTTTTTTGTTCAACGTGCAGGCTGAGTGAAATAATAGCACAGATTCCTCCATCAACACTAATGAGCGTTGGAGGAAATTCCCTTCAGTTTCCTTTGTATATCCAAACGGTGTCCGCAGCAGATTGGCCACAGGCACCATTTGTTTGAATATCTTTCACCCGGCTCCTTCAGCCAGATCGAGAAGGCTGGAAGGGTGCCAACAGCGGCTCCCACTGTGCGAATTTTGTCCAGTTCATGAAGAACCGACCACAATTTGCATAGTGTACGGGTCAGCTTTAGTATATTCCCCTCGGCCGGTTCACACCATGAAGAGTGCGTTCCAGAGCGTTCGGCCTCCGGAACACAACCCGGCCTGCTCACTGTGTTTTAGGGGAGGGCTGTGGTGGGGCATTGAGCTCAATGGCACTGCAGCCACGCCCCCCGCCCGCAGTGAGATTGCCGGCACCCGAACGTGTGGCACATCATTAGTACCTGCGTTCCGGTCCAGTGTGCTCTGCATTTCTTCAGATCGCACTGGACAGGAACGCAGGTACTAATGATGTGCCACACGTTCGGGTGCCGGCAATCTCACTGCGGGCGTTGGGACTCGTGGCTGTGGTGCCATTTATTTAAATGCACCGCCACGCCCCCTCCCAGCCCAAAACAAAGTGAGCCGGCCGGGTTGTGTTCCAAAGCGTTCGGCCTCTGCAACGCACTGGTTTGAAATGGCCCTCCATGCTTTCTAAAACAAAGTGCACTTAAAGCAGAACTCCGGGGAAAACTATTCTTAACCCTTGCAGTGTGTCTCCCCCTGTACTGAATGGGTTAAGTGCGCGTTTTTGTTTAGGTGCTAAACCCCCCCACCAAAAAAAGTTATACTCACCCGCACCACTGAGTCGGCTGTCAGAGCTACATGCAATATATTCAAAATGAGCGCCCAGCAATGGCAGCCCCCATGCTCCCTCAGTACAGGCTTCCTACATTACACTGTGCTTCCTATAACGTGTAGGAACCTCTTCATACAACATTGTTTTCTTGCTGTAGCTGGAGGGTTTCCTTGTCATCCTATTTGTTGTTGTTGGCTCGCATATGACACAAACCTGCTCCAGAAATTCAGGTTTACCCAATGGCCAGAACCCAAATGCCCCCTGTCCTAGGGAAGACAATCCGCCTCCATGTCTACATACATAAATGTACAAGAAAGCATTGTATGTATCAAGAGTTCCAAGGAACACGGCCGCATTCATAAGACTGAGGGAAACATCCCAAGCGGGAAATAAAATCTTATACGCTTCCATCATTCCTGCGTATGCGTGTCTGACATTTCCGGTGTGAGCTGAAGGAGTATGTGAGCTGAAGGAGTATGTGAGCTGAAGAACACGGAGCCGTATGTGGAAGGTGAGTAAGAGCATCGTATGGGTGAGGGTGGGGTCACTGTTGGATCGAAATGCGTTGTAGCTTGTTGGTGTACTCAGCATGCAGACATATACAATGTGGTCTCTTAGGCATCCTATGTCTGCTGCTAAAGGCACTTTACATTTTGGTTGCAACTCTTATAGAGAAACTCATTAAGAAAAACATGAACAAATGCACTTTATGCCAGTTTGCCCGTATTTGCCCCCATGTGAATGGGACATACAGGAATAGTACTGTGGTTTTAGTTCTTATTTGCAGTGTTTATGTGACTTGTGTGACATATTTCTCTTCCATGAGCTCATTTGATGAAATCTAGTAATTCATAGATGAGCCACTAGAGGGAGCAGACACTCAGTTTGCAGTCACTCTGCCTCCCTGGCCCTGTCATGAGAGAGATGCACTGAGTGGCCAGATTATTATGACCACCCCATTAGTACTTCGGGCCGCCTCGTGACTCCACGAGATCCTGAAAGGTGATGCGAGGAATCTGACACTGCACTGTTGCCCTTCTGTTGTCTTGTACCAGTCTTGCCACTCTCGTTCTGCCCTAACATTGACTAGTCGCTGACGGCCACAATTCGCACGTTCAGACCCAGATTTTCGGCTGACAGTCCAGTCTTTAAACACTTTAACAACAGCTGCTCTTGAACATTTAACGAATTCTGCTGTTTTGCTGATACTCGCTCCATGGCTCAGAGCGCCAACAATCATTCCACGTTCAAAGGCTGTTAGATCGCGTTGTTTACCCATATCTTCAGCAAAAAATCACTTCTACTGTCGTGGTAAACAACCAGCTTCCCTATTTATAATGGTCTGGCCCTCTAGCAACTTCAGCACAACATTATAGCTAATTTGCCTACAAACGTCAGGTGGTCATAATAATCTGGCCACTCAGTGTATATGGGAGCTGCCATTGCTAGTCTTACTAAAAATGCTTGTTGCCTGGTTGTGACATCAGTAGATTTTAATACACATACCTGGAACAAGCATGTTGTATATGAGTGCAAGAAAAGGGTCATTGCTTATCCCTATATCAGGGATAGGCAAACTCTGGCCTTCCATCTGTGGGGAAACTACAAATCCCATGATGCTCTGGGAGTCATGTCTGGGCTGTCAATCTTGCAATGCCTCATGGGATTTGTAATTGCACCACAGCTGGAATGCCAAGGTTGCTTACTCTTCCTCCTATACTTTTTCCAGGTCAGCGACTAAATAAAGCATCAGCATGGCAACCAGCACACTAGTGTTTTTTTATTTTTATTTGGAGGGGTGCACAAAGGCAGCCCCGTGATCTTCTCATGCAGGAGTCTGAAAACAATGCACTGCATGTTTGGCTGATGTCTTATCT